TTTCCAACAGTATTATGTGGCAACACTGAAAATCAGATTTCTTCCTTCCCCAGAGTCTATTGAAGATATTGCTTGTTTTACTTGTGCTCATTTGTTTTCTCAACTAATGATTTCTGAACTAATACTCTAAAATCTGTATTTTTTGTCATGTGGGGTCACTGAAATCCATACTTAGTTTAGTGATTAATGATTGGACAAAGATCTTTTTACATATTTGGAAGCAATAAATCTCCTAGTCTTTGTTGAGGAGCACTTTGTGCATTTTGGATCACATCTTTAGTCCTTAGTCCTGCTGTTTAGAACTCCACCTTAGCCTTTGCTTTCTGCTTTTCCAGAAACCCAAGGTAAGCCAGAGATGAAAACCCAAGGCATTCTCAGATGTTTTCTGAAAATACACACAGCACTATTCTTATTGTTGTCCTACGATTCCTAGAAATAATGTCAATGCTTTATACAGACTCTATGGATATCATTCCTAGCTTTCTTTTTTAAGTTTACTGTTTAGCCTATTGCTTGTCCCAATTGTTATCTATCACTTCAGGCAGCAACAAAGTAAAAACACTTGCCTGTAATTGTTTTTGACAAACTTCTCCCCCCTCTTCCCCCTCCAGCCCCTAAATAAGGCTTTTTTTTTTTTTTTTTTTTTTTTTTTTGTGCTGGGTGAAATCTGAGTCAGCGTTTTATGTGGGCTCTTCCAGAGAACAACCAGCCAGGTCACATGACAATTCTTGGAAATGAAGCTTTCAAAGACCTCCAGTTTTGTTCGGCTTCTTCCAATGACTGACAAGCTGCTTTGGGAATGCAGGTTGCTATTTTTTAGTGCTACTGCTGAACTACAGAGCAGGCAATGGGACTCAGGCAAGTGAAAAATTCCACTAAGTTAAAAAAAGTTATTACAAATATCCAGTTGTTTTTCCTGAATGAATGTTCCCTGAGTTGCTTTAAGCCTTGGTTAATTCAGGAATTAATGATCCAAAATCATGATTTTCACTTTTTTTTAAACCAGTTTTTCATTACTTTTATGGAAGGATGAATTTTCAGAAGCCTTTACTTGACTATTTTCAATGACATCACCTGGGATATGTCCTTAAATTATTAAAACTTTAATCTTACATGTACTATGATTTTATTATACTGAATATAACAAACTTAAAGGGCTTCATTAAATATACCACTCAATGTTTGTGATTTCATAAGTACCCAAACAAAAATTATTCAGTTCATCTAAATTTATGTTGGTTTTATTGAAAATTTTAGTTTACCAGAAAATTCTATTTTGTACTTATCAGTTGAGATGTTATGGTCACTTTTTTTGCCCTTTAGTACATGCTCCGATTTAAACCTAAATTTCACCTTACTTTTCTTTTTTTTTAAAGATTTTTATTTATTTGACAGAGAGAGAGTCCATAAGCAGGGGGAGCAGGAGAGGGAGAAGCAGGCTCCTGCTGAGCATGGAGCCTGATGCAGGGCTTGATCCCAGGACTCTGGGATCACGACCTGAGCTGAAGGCAGACACTTAACCTACTGAGCCACCCAGGCACCCCTCATCTTCTTAATTGAAAACATGAAAGGGGAATTGGTTGGACTGACTATCAGAGTTTTACTAATTCCAGCCCCCCAACCCTCCTCTCCATTTTGGGATAAGACAATTTCCATTTTAAGGCAGTAGTCAATTTTGAGGCTTTTTTTTTTTTGAATTATGAATCTTTGACTTTGCTTATAGTTGGAATATCTTTCACTCAGATTATCCCTGATAATCCCACCTTCCACAAATATAATGGTATCATTTTTCTTGAAGAAAGCCAGTGGACACATCATAAGAAATAATGGATTGAGTTGATATAGGGTCAGGTTGCTGGGGGTAATCAATAGTAGAAGCAATAATTCCACCATTGATGATAGTTACAGTGGGACCAGTGAAGGGGTTGGCAACAGTCCTCAGATGATCTTTTTACACACATCAGGATCCATATCCTCACATTCAGTAAGCAGACTACCAAGAATGCGAGCAGGAGGAGAAATCTCCACATGGTAATTGAGAAAACCAGCTCTGAGGAACACATGCATTCAGAATTATTTGGGTGGGCTTAAGGAAAATTAAGAGTTCTGGAAAGTAAGTAAAATCAGAGCCATGGAAATCCTGTTTTGTATGTTTGGTTTTTGTGTGCATGCTTCTATTCTTACCAGTCTTATTTAACTTAGGAAACAAGATTTTTCTTCCTAACAGTAATGACATTAACTAACATTTATTGAGCACTAACTTTTTTCCAGGTGCTATTACACACTTAGCTGTATTAAATCAAATCCTCAAAACGCTTTTATAGAAGGCCTGTTCTTATCAACTCAATTTTTAAAGAGGAGCAATCTGAGGCAAAGAGATTAGCAACTCACCGAGCATAATCGTATAATTATGATTAGTAAGTTTTAAAGTCAGGATCTGAACATAGTTGAAACTACCCATACAACATCCTGCCTTCTAGAAATGCAAATACTATGAAATTATATAATTTTATTTAACTTAGCTGTGAAAGCAGAGTTAGTGCTAATGGTTACGTCCATTATTTAGGACTATCCATCATAGTTGTACAATCAGTTGGTGGCTGATGGTACAGAACAGCAATTCATTATTCTGCTCTCATTACTATGTTGGCTTCTCATTTCACTTAGAGTAAATGACAAAGTAGATTGATAGTATACAAGATTCTATATTTTCTGGCCCCCTCTTATTTTTCACATCCTCTTTCTTTCCTAAAAAACATTTATTTATTCTTTGTGAGAGAGAGAGAAAGAGAAAGAGAGCATGTAGAGGAGGGGCAGAGGGAGAGGGAGAGAGAGAATCTTAAGCACTCTGTGCTGAGCTTGGAGCCCGACTTGGGACTCAATCTCAGGAGCCTGAGGCCATGACCTGAGCTGAAACCAAGAGTCGGATGCTTAACTAACTGTGCCACCCAGTCACCCTCACATCCTCTTTCTACTTCCCTCTCCAATGCTACTCATCTCTTTGATGCTTCTGAAAACGACCAGGCAAGCTCCAGCTTTTATCCCTGCCTAGAAACTATTCCCCCAGTTATCAACATGGTTAACTCCTTCAATGTCCATGAGATTTTACTCAAACCTCACTTTTTTTTTTAAAGATTCCATGTATTTATTTGACAGAGACAGAGACACAGAGGAGAGAGAGCACAAGCAGGGGAAACAGGAGAGGGAGAGGGAGAAGCAGACTCCCTGCTGAGCAGGGAGCCCAATGCAGGACTCGATCCCAGGACTCTGGGATCATGACCTGAGCCAAAGGCAGACGCCCAACCGACTGAGCCAGCCAGGCGCCCCAACACCCCTTCTGTACTTCTATTCCCACTTATCCAGCTCTATTTTTCCCACAACATTGGCTACTCTCTATCTTGTATAATAAATACATAAATGTATTTATTATATTTATTGTTTGTTGCCTGTTTCTGCTGCCAGAACACCAGTTCCATGAAGTGAGGAATCTGTCTTCCTCCACAGAGTAGGTGCTTATTTATTGAAAGAAAGAATAAATGCAATTTCTGAAAGTGAAAGAAACTCATGAATACCGGTGGATTTTAGCCCACTCTGGGTAGCATGATTCTCCAAAACTGTCTTTAAGTTTCATCCTTTGGACTTTGTACATGCTATATCACCCTTCTAGGTATTTTCCCTCCAGTTTTCTACTTGGAAACCCTGATCTTTCTGCTGATAGAACTCTTTCTAAGCAATTTTCTCAGAAATACTTAGCAGTTTCTTTCCATGATCCCATGTAATGTGTGGTTCATAGCTTATTTCTAGTGCTTAAAACTAGGTGTTTTAATTTATCTTTTGACATGTTCCTAGCCATAGACTCGACCCCTCCCTAACCTAGAATATTTATCTCTCCTTTGCATCTATAGTACCTAGCACAGAGATTGATATGCTGTCAACCTTTCAGTTAATGAAAGGAACAATGGCTATTTCTTTTTATCTATGCCAATGCCCTTACAGACTTAAAAGACTGATGCTTATGTTCATAAGGTCTTTTTTAAAAAAATATAATTGTCTTATCTCTGCAACTGGCATATGACATGTGTGTAGTTCTAGAGACCAAAGGCTTGAAACAGAATTGCTTAAACTTTCTTTACAGACAACATTTCTAAGTAGGATATAGCATCACATTTGGAAATCTGTCTAATGTCTGTAGGCTATTGTATTATTATGTATGTGCTCATACACACAGGCTGAAGGCTCAGGGATAGAAAGGGGTTGAGGGTAATGCTTAATTCCACTGAATAGTCATTCTGAAACACACTTCAAAAACAACCCCTTCTTCATTAAGAGATGTATGATCTGTCTCATAGGCATCTGTCTCTCTAGAGACTATAAACCATGCAAAGTAGCAACATCCATATTTTAGCAAAAGCAATGAGAAGAGTAGCATAATCAAATTCTCATCATTTTTGTTTTAGTACAATTTCCAGCATATGCACAAGGATGAACTAGAATAGCTCCTATGGAAATTTTTCAAGGAAAAATTAGCCAAGGGTGTAATGTATTGTGTGCCCTTGGGTAATCATGATCCTTCTCCCATGTTCCAAAAACTTACTTAAGTCAGTCATATATTTTCAGAATTACATAATTGTATTCAACCAATGGTAAAATACCAGTAGAGCAAACAGTGTACATTTTCTATTGATTTTTTTCCAAAATTTTCTTAGAGAATTCTTTATGAGGTAACACAGAGAAAGCTACCAATATGTATATAAATACTCATTTTTTAAAGTTGTTTCACTTCTTCAATAAAAAAAAAAAATTCCCTGTTTTCTTCTACACATTTCACTAAAACTAACTCTAAGGGAAAACTGTTATTTTTGAATTTATTTTTATGTAAAAATAATAATTTCCAAGGAGACCAATTTTGCTATTAAAGGTGTTTCCTTTGATTTGAGACAACTTCTTCTACATGGATCTAGAGTGATAACTGGGAGTGTAAAATATTAGTAGATACAAACCAACAAGGATGGAGTAGAGGATGCCTGGCCTATCTGATGGCGGCTGAATATTCTGGTCCTGGTCAACAGCTTGGATGGGCGGGGTAACGGTGATGGGGTTCAGTTCTTCCTGGAAAAAAATTCAGAGAGTTTAGTTCAGCTTTATTATTAATGCCTCATGAAGAATCGACACTTGGATATTGGCTCTTATAGTTTGGACATCTAGATAATATCTGAGCTAGTACTTAAACTCAGGTTTCAAGATCTGTAACTTAACATATTAGACTAATTAATTTTGAGGCTGAAGAGGGAACAATGTGTCCTCAAGGTCAAAATGAAAAGACATAGTAATTACATACTTAGAACTTTCTATCAGGTATTTCTCCTAATAAGAAAGCAAGGAAGAAAGATATCAATAAAGTTTGAATCTTCCCTAGATAATTAAATCAAAAGAAATGTGAGGCTATCAAATATCATTTTTTATCTTTGTCTTTAGACAAGATTTGTAAGAATATTTACATTATTTTTCTTCCTACATCATGTTTTGAAGTTTCACATAAATTAATTATATTAAAATAAAATCTTTAAAAATTGATGCTTTAACTGAATAGTAATCAAAGCCCCATCACTGCAAATTTCATATAGTTAAAATTAATTCTATATCATGCATGTATGTACATTTAACTTATAATTAGCCATAAGAAGATGTTGTTTAAAATAGTAATATATTTGTCTAAGTCAGTGTTTCCCAATATGATGTCCAGTGGTATACCGTTCTGCTATCAGTATTGGCAAACATTTTTCTGTTAAGAACCAGATAATAAATATGTTTATGCTGTGCTGGACATAAAGTATCTGATTCAGCTTTTCAACTTTGCCACTGTAACTCAAAAGCAACAAGTGGGCATGACTATGTTGCAATAAAACTTTATTTACAAAAACAAATGGTGAGTAGGATGTGATTTGTTAACCCCTGTACTAAATTATAAATTATAATTTATAACAGGTATGCTGAAAAAACAAATGTGCACTCTGCACAGATAAGTTTGAGATACAGGGTATTAAATAAATTTTCACTCTACTGCAGGTCTTTTCAGAGGCTTATTGTGCTAATTGGCATAATGACTGTCCAAGAAGGGGGTTTATTTGCACATTTTCTAGAATCATCCATTTACATCTTGAACTCTTACACTCTCTTAGAACACAGTTTGAAATACTGCTTTAAGACTCTACAACACTCAGTCCAAATATAATAGCAATTTTAATGGGAAATAATGTCTATTTCAATATCTGACTTCACATTCTTTTTTTTTTTTTTAATATTTTATTTATTTGACAGAGAGAGAGATAGCGAGAGCAGGAACACAAGCAGGGGGAGTGGGAGAGGGAGAAGCAGGCTTCCCGCCGAGCAGGGAGCCCAATGTGGGACTCGATCCCGGGACTCCAGGATCATGACCTGAGCCGAAGGCAGACGCTTAATGACTGAGCCACCCAGGCGCCCATCTGACTTCACATTCTAAAGAATCACTGCAATGTTACTTTATGTTATTTCTTCTCAAATGATAGAACCTTGAAACATATCATGTACTTTTAAATAAAATCAGTAATGTCTAATCTCAGCAGAAACGTATAGTGGTGCCATGCTAAAAAAAGGCAATGATATTAAACTGTAATGTATGATACTTAATTTTGATTAAGTTATGTTAAGTGATATTAAGCATAGCTATAGTACTAAAATATATTACGTTATTGAAGTTGCAATAATTAAAGATAATCATTGACCAATAATGTGGAGCTCACATACATCTGAGGGGCTCTTCCCAGTTCATAATCTTTAATGGGCTCTCAGTAGTCTAAAAGTTATTAATATCTTCCTAAAAACAAAGAGCTCCTGGTAGGGATAACTTTCTAATATTTTATTCACTTGTTGAAATGTGGATTCAGAACCAGGAAAACATCAAATCAATATCAAAATCACTCCATTAAATCCTGATGACTACTGTTTTGTTTTTGTTGTTGTTTTTACACAATAGAATACATTACAACATAACACTTCCTTTGCTCCCTGTTTCTGTCCCTCTTTCTCTGTTTTGCTCTTTCTCTCCTCTCCCCCCCCCCCCAACTTTCTCTCTGTCACTCACACAGACACACACACAGCTTCCCAATTTCCATTTTACTTCCTCTGTAATCCGGGATTTCTCCTGGAACTGAAAAAAATCCAAAGCTCTTCAAAGTACGTATGTTTGAATGCAGGAGTTAAGGGCTGATAGCTCATCCTAGACATTTTTCAAAGGAATCTGACAGGGGCGCCTGGGTGGCTCAGTTGGTTAAGCGACTGCCTTCAGCTCAGGTCATGATCCTGGAGTCCCGGGATCGAGTCCCGCATCGGGCTCCCTGCTCGGCAGGGAGTCTGCTTCTCCCTCTGACCCTCCTCCCTCTCATGCTCTCTGTATCTCATTCTCTCTGTCTCAAATAAATAAATAAAATCTTAAAAAAAAAAAAAAAAAGGAATCTGACAGCTAAAGTCACCATACAGCTAAGCTACTTCAGTCTGGTTCAACTAGTAAATCTGTGGTAGCTTTTCCCAAAGTACAGTTCTATTCAGACCTTGTGAAGGTATTTCAAATCTCAGGAATTTTTTGCAACCCCATTCTCCTTCCCATGCTCAGAGAAATACACTAAGGGATCCTAGGTTCCTGCTGTTGGAAATAACTTACCCAGAATTAACAAAAATTGAATCTGTGCACAGATAACTTGAGAGTCTCTCTGCTGAACACCTTCACTCCACTATTTCTGTGGAGCTGCTAAGTGACCAATACATATGTGGTTTTAGTTTTGGTAATGAGTCACATAGTTTAAAATCCTCTTCCTGTAAAATCTAAAGTTGTTGGGATGAGCAATGGAGTTTTAGTCATATTATTTAAAATTATACGAACAATAGAAAAAACTAAACATAACATGGTAAACAAAACTAAGAGTGAGGGAGAGGTGCTAATAAGATTGTTCAACTTTCATAGTCGGTTATTAATAAATATATGGTGAGAACTGAAGAAATAGACAGAAGCCAGTGTGCTATTTAGAATCAGAAGAATTAAAAATGGAAATAGCAAAATGTTGATGACTCAGGAGAGTGGGTCTAGGAGTGAAGGTAGGTGGGATGAAAGGTATTTATTTAAAGTCATTTGGTCCCGTGTTACTATGTAGTTACCATACTCTGAACTACTTTTAATATTACAAATACGAAAATTGTACTAGTGAGAATAAAATTAACCCTCTGGGTGAAGGCTTCAATAAGTTTCTGGAAATTTGGGAGAAGCATAGCTATCTTAAATAACTTGTTAGGACTGACTTTCGTCTTGTGCTATCTTAAGAAAAACTATTTTTCCTTTTCTTTAAAGATCTATTTATTCATTTTAAAGTGAGAGAACAAGAAAAAGCATGAGCAAGGGAAGGGGCAAGGGGAAAGGGAAAGAGGCAGTCTCCAGCAGATTCCCCGCTGATAGAGGAGCCCCATGCAGGACTCGATCTCACGATCCTAAGATCATGACCTGAGCTGAAATCAAGAGACCAATGCTCAACCAAATGAGCCACCCAGATGCCCCAGAAAAATGATTTTTCTTATGCTACCATTAATGAGTTTTTCAGAAAATCTAGGTTTAAAGGTGAATGAGTTCTCAGATATAATTTCTAAGATTATCTCCAAGTAGATGGGGATCTTTGAATCTTGAGAATTTTTAACACTAGCAACACATAACATGAAAGGATGCTGTGTTTTGTTTAGAATGATACTGTTAAAATATTTAATATAATTTTTCATAAAGATAAGTAACATTTGAACCAGAGTACGGAAATTATACATTCATTCATTAGGAGAAACAACATAGTAACATGCATCATTTTTTGAACTTTTCTCTCACCAAAAAATCTCTATATTAGATGCAGCCAGGCATTGGAAGGGCATACAAATAAGCAAGAAAATCCCAGAGGGATACAATTCCTTAGAATAAGCAAGAATTTTATGGGAAAAAAAACATGTAGGGACACCTGGGGGGCTCAGTCGGTTAAGCATCTGGCTTTGGCTCAGGTCATGATCTCAGGATCCTGGAATCGAGTCCCTCATTGGGCTCCTTGCTCAGCAGGGAGTCTGCTTCTCCCTCTGCCTCTTCCCTCCCCCACCTCCTCGCTCTCTCTCTCAAATAAATAAATAAAACCTTAAAAAAAAAAGGAAAAGAAACAAACAAACATGTAATCATTTACAGGGTTGGCAAACAATATATATTCATTTAATACATTTTTTGTCAATTTGTATTCTACTGAATTGCACAGCCTGGTAAGAGGTCGCTACTCTCAAGAGGGCTCTAAGGCAGGGCGCCTAGGTGGCTCAGTTGTTAAGCGTCTGCCTTCGGCTCAGGTCATGATCCCAGGGTTCTGGGATTGAGCCCCGCATCGGGCTCCCTGCTCTGTGGGGAGCCTGCTTCTCCCTCACCCTCTGCTTGCCTCTCTGCCTACTTGTGCTTTCCCTCTTTCTCTCTTTGTCAAATAAGTAAAGAAAATCTTAAAAAAAAAAAAAAAAAAAAAAAAAAGAGGGCTCTAAGGAAACAGTCCAGTGGTAGCTACTGCGAGAACAACCTTCACAGGTCTTATGAAAAGGCGAACACCTATGAGTTACATTTCCTTTGAAGAAACATTCTCGTCAATAGACAGTAACTACAGCTCCTTATTTCTCCTGTCCTCTTATTTCTCTTAGCTTCTACTTTTACTGTTGGATTTCAAAAGAATTATGCTAAAGAAATTAGAAATTCACCCATGGCTTAAATATGCTTGGGTATCCTTAAGGAAAGGATTAAGAGGTTCCTCTATGATGGTATAATTATTGGAATCACTCTTCACTGAAAACTCTGTTGGCAGGTGCGCACAAATATAACCCACAGCCTAGTGCGAACAGTTTGCAACATATTTGATTCATCAAGTTGAATTCTAGGAGTTACATTAAAAAGTCACCCAAACACCTTGCCCCTAAAGCAAATCTGCCTTCTCTCAGTCTTATTTGTCTTTGAATAGTCATGTCTCCTAAATTCTGTTCACACTAGTAGGTGCATGTTACAAGTGCACAGAATAGCAGGCTCTCAT